AGTAGAGTTACATTGAGCACAAGATTTCCCCATGGTAGATTAAACGTACTTTTTTCTTAGAACTTCTTATAAGTGCTGCAGAAGAAACAAGAAACAAGGCAGGATTTGAAAGGATGCAGGAACCTGAAGGATGGAATAGGTCATGCAGTCCTGAAAATGATCCATAAAGGCTGCTCAGGCAAAAAGTTTCAGAAATGTAAGCAGGTAGAGACAATTAAACCTTAAGATTTATAAAACTGGTTTTTCAGGAAAGAAAATACCAGACGTAGGTTTTACACAAGGAATTATATGCTCACACTTCACACAGGACCAAATTCAGAGCAATTTCTTATCTGAAAATAAGCAGAGCTTGCAAGATTTTGAATTCTGTAGCTTTTAACTGTTCCAAAAAAATAACAAACATGGGAAAGCACACTATATACATATATATATATATATATATATATATAGTCAATGCTTTTCCTTTGTTTTATTTCTGAAATGAATTTGTTTCTGAAAATAAAATGACATGGAGAAAAAAAAATTGGCATCACTATGCCCATTCTATAGCAATTTCACTAGTGTTCTTCCACATCAATAAACAAATTCATCTCCTCATTCTGCAATAAAGCATTATTTCATTTCATTAAATAAATAATGCATAGAAATTGCTAAGTATTACATCAAGCTCAACTTTCAGTACTACCATAATGGCATTGAACTGTGATTCAGAAGTTATATCTGTTACAGAACAATTTATTATGGCTCTTAAGAGTCTTCTAGTTAATTCATAACTCTTAGTGGAACCTATGAGTCCCATAACAAGTACTTTACTATCCTATTCTGAGGATTTCCTAAAATTGTATTGCTCTTTAAAAATTGACTATATGAATCTCTTCTCTTACCAAAAGCTTATTGTTTCATCGCATACCTAATGCTGTCCTTCTTGCATCTCAGAACAATATTTAATATTTAGATTACCAAAACCACCTCTTATGTTATAAGACAAAAGCTCATCTGCACATCCACAAGGAGCACAGAGTGACAACAGAAGCTGAGTGATCCTAAATAATACCCTGTCATGGCCACTCCCACGGCCATAAGAGGAAGCCAACCCTCCAAAGCCCATCTCCCCAGAGCATAAAGGAAAAGCCCTACTATGTCAGACTACTGATTTACCTTACCCCTCTGACATTTGCTTGTACTGAACACTTAAACCAAGTTGTTGTTTTTCTTTCATTCCATTAGCACCTGTCCATCTTGCCTTTAATAACGCACACGACCCAAGTCTCATATGTCCTGGATATTTCCTTCTTTACTACCTCACCACTTCAGCCTCCTTTTATTTGCCCTCAACTCGTCTGCTGGCTATCTCTTATGGACCTGCTGCCAAAGTCCATTTAACTATTTTCTTTCTCTAAAGATAAGAAGCAGAATTTTCAAGAGAATATAGGCCAGTGTTAAATATTTTTACAAATCCTGAAGTTATATAAAAAAAGAGTTGAAATGTACGATTCTAAATTATGTGTATTTGCAGTGTTTATACAGTATCTATATAAAAATCATACTTAAGATCTTTATGCATTGAGCAATGGTGGTTTGGATTGCTTCAGGGAGGAAAAAAGGTTTTGTATAAAACAGTGCAATTGAAACTAAGGAGATGGAGACATGCTAATCTCGATTAGTACGACTTTGGGTAAATAGCTTCAAAAAAAAAAAAAAAAAAAAAACAAACAGAGAAGTTATCTGAGCTATGTCAGATAAAATAATATCTAATATTGCCAGAGTAGCCCCTTCTGGCCATTGAAATAATATTAATTAAAGGGCTTACCCACAAATTTTAAATTGCATTGTCCATGTCGCATATTCCTTGCATTGCATGATAAGTAGAGCTGACTACTCTGACACAACTAGGAGATGTAAGAGCTTAGCTTCCTTTTGTCCATCACCTTATGCTATTATTTGCACATGGTGGAATTCCAGCACAAATTTTGCACAGTTCAAAGTTATGTAAATAAGGAACTAAGAGATGAGGACCACATTTAGTCTGTTCTACACATAAACAGGCTCTGCTCAAACACCAGCCAAAGCTGAAGCCAAGTCACACAGCCTGTTAGTATGCTACGTTGATTTAAAACAGCCTTCACAGAACTGCTACCAAAACACTACTACTATATCACCTAGAGAATGTCTTTGTCAGGTGATAGGAGGATCTATCTTTAATGCAGTTCACAGCCAGATGAAGAGAGATCAACTGACAACAACTTCTCCTTGCTCTGCTGGGATATGTGGATGAGCAAAGGCTCTTGGCTAACATTCTGCAAGGAGAGGGAATACTTCCACCAGCAAGGCTGAAGAAGAGGACAGCCTGCATCTAGACTCCTTCTTTGCCTGATCATATAAGAAACAAGTCCCACTGCTACTCTACTAGTATATAGGCTATCTTTATAAAGGGCAGAGTCGATCTCTCAGTCCTATTTGCTAACTAGACTGTATGTTTACTGTTTTCACCCTAAAATTCTCTTCAGTTCTTGAGATTTTCCCAAAGTTTAGCCCATCAGTTTTTAATTATAGCCTTGAGAGTTTATCTGTCCTAGTACTAAGGCTAAAAAAAGAGACATACAAAAATCTGTTTTGTGTTGGAAGCTGTGATTCTGGCCCCAACCTGATGTTAAGGCAACCATTTAAGATGCACATATCTTAAAGCTCTGTATTTCCCTTTTCTACATGTGCCATACTACTACCCACAGGATTACTGATCTGGAACTGTGCAAACTTATTTTCAGCAGAATCTTCACAATGCAGCCCTCCATGATCTGAAGTTATCTGTAGAAAGAGTCCTACACATTATTATACTTAAAATGTCCTTCACCATCTGAAAGTATCATTGCAAAGATTTATTGCATGCTGCCTTTGTCCTTGAGCAATAACATCTGTAATAACATTGGAAAGAGCTGCATTTACTATGATTCTCTTACCTCTGAAATGTCGCTTAATGAGGCCTGTCTTAAATAGGCACAACTCCCAAGGCTTATTGCCAATTCTCTCTGAGCCTGAGTTTTCATCTGTACCTGCCAGAAGGTTGATTTAATGGGAAAAATAATTCTTCTATCTTTAATAATAAAGCCTTGTATATAACACTAGATTTACCTGGGCATCCAGTTTTAAAACTTTTTGAAGACATTGATTTTTAATCCACCAAAGGTCCTTCTGATAGCTAAAATGGTACAAAGCTGAGTTCAACACAGGATACATCAAAAAAAGCTGTAGCAGCCTTGATTTTTGGTTCCCATCTGCCCTACTCCTTTCACAGCCATGCACAGGCGTATTCAAAAGGCCAAATATTGACTGTGGCTAGGCTTATATTAAACTATTTTGATGGCTTTGGTGGAGCAAAGGGGAAGAAGTGAGAGAGGCTCCTGCATTATGCACAGTATCCAGAGATAAAATTCTTTGGGAATGGTCCAGTTTTAAAGCCCTGTTCTTCCTGTTCTGTGTATGACAGAATATGCTACACTTCAAGAGGCAGTGAATTTCACCATGAGAAGTCTCCGAGTACTTTCATTTCTGCCTGTCCACAAATGTTTTCAATTCTGAACCTTTCTTCTTTTTCTGAATATGATGCTAAAGAGCTCTCCCATCAATAAATGCTGAAAATACTCTCTCTAGCCACCAAGTAGTACGTGCTATCTACATGAAGAACCTGTTAACAGCCTTTCTTGATTTTCTTCCTCTAATCCATTGTATCTTGGTGAGATTCAAAAACATGTAGCTTTAAAAATATGAACAGCTATTACTCAAATCTACATCCATCTCAAAGTCCAGTGACACTCCATTTTAGTTTTCGCTGTTTTCCCACCTCAGTGCTAAAGATCAGAGATACTTTAGAAGAGTGTGTGGTCTTCTACTGTTACTCAGCCTAACCAGCACTGGCTGCCATTACTTCTGACACAAAAGCCCAGGAAATCCTTGATCTAAATTGCCTGTATTTTTGCATCTTTCTGGCAGGTTGCAACTCATCTCTTCTTCTTCACTTCTGCCATTATCACTCCTGAAATAGCAGGACATGCTCTGCCTGTGGTAAGCAGAGATATTGAGTTCAAGTCTGTGATGAGGCAGCAGGGGCAATCACTGCCACTCCATCTGCTTCCTGATGACTGGTATTTCTCCTGCCTTACCAAGGAACCCTTCTGATTTCATTGATGAAGTAGTAAAAGAAATGGGTCCTGGTAATTAGTGATCAGCCACCCTACCGGCAATGTCTCTCTATACAGAGAAGAGTGCAAATAAGCAGTAGGCAAGTCAAGCACCTGGTACAGTGTATGGACATTGCCTTCCAGTTAAGAGAACTGGTGTCCATATCTTTCTTTTTTGAATGCTATCACACCTGACAACAATCATACCAACATCTAGGGGAGAGGGCTCTTGTAGGTCTGGAGTGGAAATACCTGTGAAAACTGTGAGGATACAGGAGATCCAAACCATTTCCAAAGCACAATTCTGTCTAGCGTGCTACCGCACAGTTTCCCACGTTTTACTTCTAGTGCCAGCTACCCTTTCCCCAAGACACAGAATCAGGGAGGGCACAGTCTGGTCAATATCCTTGACTCACCACACTAATCAGCTGCACGCTGACCCCTGCTCCACTCAGGCAACACTGCCAGACATTTCTCCCTACCCCCACTTCCCTGGGGAAGCAAACGCTTTAAGCGCTACCCAGCCCGAGAAGCACAGCAAAGCAGACTCCGCTACAGCCGCACACCCCTACCCCCAAGAAATGCTTCACTTCACACCTCATGAAGACCTCAGAGGGGAGTGATGCTCCACCTCCCCCCGCCCGCGTCTTCCCCGCTGTCACAGCCCTTCCTACCGCCCCGCCCGCCACACACGTGCCTGCAGCTAGCGCCCGGGCGCGCCGTCGGGGCGGGTGGGAGCCGCCGCCTCCCCGGCACCGCCCGCGCTGCGCGTCGCTCGCAGTCGGACGCGAGGAGCCGGTGGCTGTTCTGACGCCGCCGCGTACCATGGCCGTCGCCTACCTCCTGGGCAACGGCTCCGCGCCGCTCCTCGCCGGCGCCCTGGAGGTCCCCTTCGGAGCCAACGCTTCTGCCGCCGCCGCCTGCCGCCCCGCCGTGCCTCCTTGTGTGGCCGCGCCGCCAGGCTCCTGGGGTAACAACACGGCGGGCTGGAACCGCTCTGAGCTTTGCGGCGGTGCCAACGGCAGCGCGGGCGGCGGGCCATGCGCTCCCGCGGGCGGCGGCGGCCCCTCTGTGGTTACGGCTATCGCCATCATGGCCCTCTACTCTGTAGTGTGCGTCGTGGGGCTTTTCGGCAACTTCTTGGTCATGTACGTCATCATCAGGTGAGTGCCGCCGTCGGGCTGCGGAACGGAATTCCGCCGGCGGCGGGATGCTACGGAGCTGGTGCGTGCGAGGGACTTCTGCCTCCTAGGTGCGGGGTATTTGAATGGAAGACGCTTTGGGAAGGCGTCGGAGCGAGAGATCGCGGAGGGGAAACGCGGCGGGGCCGAGCGCCCCGTCGGAGATGCTCCACGGGCCTCTAGGGATGCAGCACCCGGCAGCGCTCCGACAGCGGAGCCCGACTCTCGCAGCTGTCCGCTGCTGAGGGAAGGTGGAAGGGGACCGCGGCCACCGCGTGTGCGAGTGTACGCACAGCATTCAGCACGCGTCTGTCCCCAAACCTGTGCCAACACAAAAGCAAAATATAAATGGCATCGCAGCTCAATGCTTCTCTCTGCCTGGAATTATAGATCCTCTATCCTGAGTATTGATATGCGTGTTTTATGCTCGTATACATCTGTGTCTGTGTAAGTGTATATACATCCACGCGTACACACGGGATCCTGTCAGTTCCCCAGGCTCCCAGCTGCGCTGCAGCACTGAGCAACATTGTTACCCGCAGGTCCTTCACGAATGTGCCTTTCACGCACGAGGAATCTCATACCCGTAAACCGGCGGCAAGCGGGTGCCAGCGAGATGAAACAGGCTTCGGCGGGGCCCGGGTCGGGTGGTCGGATTCCGTGGAGGAACAGTGCCACCTCCCGGGGGCGGCGGGTCGAAGCTGCCCTCGAATGCCCCGGTTCGGAGCTGGCCCGGTCCTGACTTCCCCCGGGCAGCTGGCCTTTCAGAGCCATGCTTCTGCAGAGGGTGCCCTTGGGGAGTGCTTCTTCCTTGCCGCAGGATTTGCAGTTCCCCCCTCTTCCGCCGGGCAGGCGCTGCGTGGGGCTCGGGGGCGGCTGTAACAAGCTGGGGTGATGCTCCGATGATTCCTTCAGAGTACAACATAACAGCAGCTTTTGGGGATATCTCTGCAAAGCCCATACAACTAAACCTAATGGGAACACAACTTACACGTACCAATGGTTCAGACTATTCCTACTGCTTTTAACCATACTTTAGAGGCAGAATTTAGAAGATTCTTTGTGCCATGAGGATTTGGAAAAGCTCAGATCCAAGTGGTCTGTGTGAGAAGTGCTCTTGAACAGGAACATGACTGCAATGGTTTGAGCAAGCGGTGAATGCCTTCCTCTGGGAGAAGAGGCAGATGCACAATGTAACAGAACCAGGATGGTTGTCAGCAGTGTGTATATTACAAGTTTTCCATGGAATTGTAAATTTATACCAGCCATAACCTGTTCTGGGTTCATATTTCTTATATTAATTAATTCAATTATACTTACACCACAAAGCCAAATTGAATGATGCACCTGCGTTCAGCTTTCTATCTTGAGACGATCTTTCCCAGAGATTAAAGCTTAATACAAAAACCAGAAGCAATAGAAGGCAAAAAGTATGTTTTAATTTACAGAGGAAGACATAAATCAGTTAAATGACCTCCCTAAAACCACTCTGGAATTCTGCAGCAAAGACAGGACTGAGTCCAGATCGTCCAGATTCCATATGACATAATTCCTTCTCAATTAATATCATACACCTATTTCCCATTTTAGGATGAAAAAAAGCTTGTTATGATTGAATAGAGTCTGTCATTTAAGCATCACAGAAATGCCTTTCCTTTCTGTGCTTCTATATAGGTTTGGTGTGCTTGGGCAGCAGTAAGGAACTTCTTGAGATTTTTCCTGTTGCAGGCTATGCTAACATGAGAGCATTGCCAAATTGTATCATATGCATATATGGAGCAGTGAGCTTATATGCTCGTATTCATGAAACCTTAGATCCCACTAAAGATAGGAGGCAAACCTTTCCCTGGATCAAATTTGGCATACTATAGATCTCCCTGTCTTTGTCTACCTTTCATACAGCGACTGCTCAAGAAAAAGGAAGTTCTAAAGTTCGTGTTAATTTTAAGGTGAATTAATACTACAAGAAAGAAGATTTGAAAGTGATATTGGCAGCTTGTTTACCTTGAAAATGTCAGGAGCAGAGAGGGGAGATGGTTGGATGTCTGAAACTGTCCCTACTCACCTCTTAGAGTCCAGTGGAAATTTAGAGTGCATGCTAATACATCACACTCAGCTTCTTTGGAAACACTTTTTTGAATAGCTATTAAGTTATTTCTATAAGCAGGCGACTTTAAAGCCCCATCCAGTTGTCCCATCTCCTCCAAGTGAAGCAGATCCGTGGGCCTGGAGCCAGAGCTGTGTAGGTGCTTGCCTGATGTGTAACTGTCATTTTCAATATACAGTGTCATGGGCTTTGTACACCTGTACATGATTATTAATGCAATCTCAACCACCCTCCTCATTCTCCCAAATGGTTTCTGTTCAGCTGAGTTATTTCTTCCTTGAATTATTATTTACAACACATTGTATCTACAGTATGTGAAACTGAACCTCGTGTTACCAACGTGTTTCCTTTGTGAAGTATGAAAAATGACTTCTAAGTGACAGCAATAATAGTCAGGTTTTACTGCCAGCCACAGATTTCATTATCTATTTTCCTCATATGTTTTGTTTAAGCATGAACTACTAATACAAACACAGTGTCATTACGGCTACATTAACAGCAAATGCTACTGCTAGTTGCTGCAGAGTACAAGACAGTGTACAATTAGTATCATCATGTGGCATTGAATTAATTTCACATTAATCTATAGGCTTTTCTTGCTTTCAAGACAAGTCAGAGGGATATGATGAGAGGGGGAAGAAGAATATGTCTTGTGATTAAGGAGGTGTACACAGTGCTAGTGAGCTGTGATAGATCATAGCTAAACATCTTTGGCATCACCAGAGTGGAGAAGCTGAGGCCCCAGCCCTGCACTGGGTGAAATGCCCTGAGAGGGCTGCAATGTCATCAATAGATGCTGTCAACACTCAAGGCAAGAGCAATGCCTTAATTGCTGTGCTAATCATTTTGTCACATATCATAAATAAAGGAGCCTGGGGTGCCCCGTGGTCCTTCACAAGATAAGGGAAATGCCTTGTTTCATTACAGTAAATGATTATACTAGCATTTATATTTTTTTTAAAGTCCGCAAAATTAAAATAAGGAAAGAAGTCTGCTTTGAGGTAGAGAGCTTTTTGCATTTCTCAGGGCAATATCTCAACTATGTTTTGGGAAAAAAAAAAATTATGATTGAATCATCATCTGATTTGGGAAGATTGCACATTCTACTGAAACCTTTGCTTACTTCAGCCTGGTTCACTTGTGCTTTGGGAATACTTTTTTAGTAAGAAAGGAATTTGGCATGTAATTTCAATTGTAGGAAGAATTGATGTCTTCAGAGGAATACTCTGACTTGTAAAGAAAAGGAAAAGTAAGGAGTTCATAAAGTGAATATAGCACATGAGGTGGAGAGAGTCTGATTTTTGTTAAGTAAGCTGAGAATGACCCACTGAAAATGATCAGAGGATAAAACAGGCTGAAGCAAAGACTTTTTCCAGAAAAGCCAGAAGCTCTTCTTTGCAAAGCAACATGGAGTTATGGATGCAGTGTGAAAGAAGATCTGTGGCATGCCTTGTGTCAGCATAGATTGGGGAATTTAGAAACCTAGAAATCCATAAAATTTGTTTCCTGCCCACAGCAATGTGAATGTCTCTTCATTTGGATGGCACTGCATCTGTCATCTCCAGGGAACCTAATAGTGGCCTTTCAGTATCTAATGGGAGGTTGTAAGAAAGGGGACAGACTCTTTACCAGGACTCTTTAGGTTCTGGTAAAGGTTGTGACAGGACAAGGGGAAATGGTTTCAAACTAAAAGAAGGGAGATTTAAAGCTGGCATAAGGAAGAAGTTTTTTACAATAAGAATGCTGAGACACTGGAACAGTTTGCCCAGTGAAGTGGTGGAGGCCCAATTCTTGGAGACAGTCAAGTTTTGAGGAAATCTGAGTAGGCAAGACCAGCCCAAAAGCTGAGTTCAAAGACAGGTGCAGTGAGATGACTACTCTCAGCACACCACTTTACACAGAGGCATAAGTTTCATTTGCACACTGCTTGCAATAAAAATTTACCAACCTCTAGTAGAGGATAAATGGTTGACTACTAAGATGCTCCCCTCTCCTCTAGGATCAAGAGGAGTAGATTAGATAAAATGCTATGTATACTTTTATATTTTTGTTTGTTTAAGTTATATTGAAACAGCCATGGTTGACGACGACCTCAGAATGTCCCTGGTCTCTCTGAGCTGAAGGCAAGGTCAGGGTGCCCAGCCAGCTCCCACCTGCAGAACATGGGGCTGCCCCTGCAGCACCTCCACCCCTGGGCAGAGGTATGCTGAAAACTTTGCCCCTCACTGAATTTCCTCATAAAAGTCAGTCTAATTGCACTGACTATTCATGGCATCAGTAAAACTAGAACATATTATAAGAGCATATTATTCATATTTCAATCGCTAGCAAACTAATGAGTTAATGTGAGCTAGCATAATCCCAAAATACTATTTTGTTTCATTTTAACTTGCACTGTTTTGTTTTCAAATAAAAAGTCATAGCTTTTAATGAATATGGTTGAAAAACTTTTCTTTTTGAATTCTCCTACAGCAAAAAATGACATACAAAAATCTCAAACAAAACACGATGGAAGCCAAACAGTCTCAAAATCATTAGCTCTTTTCCAGGCATAGACAGTAACTGGTGTTTAGACAAAGACAAAAACAAAGAGAAGCTTCCCTGTGTGAGACTCCTTCTAACATCCTATTGTACTGCAGACAGACTTCTGGGCTGCATTTTACATCACCATTTTTTCATTGTCTTTCTGTGGACATTCTTCTATGCAGCAGTCCCAAGAATATCTGAATCTAAAATAAGGTTGGAAATAATATGTTGGAAATACTGTTACCTTTCAACAAAGCTGTTTCAAAGCAGTCATTTTCTAAAGTAAAATTTGAGAATTCTGAAACATTGTTAAGGATTCTAAATTAGTTATTTTTAAGTCTGGGTGCTC